CCAAATCAAAGGAAACAAGTTAAAATCCAAATCTTTTAGCAGTTATTAAAATACCCTATATTAATCTAGTTATAAAATCCAGAAAACCTTGACTAATAAGCAACAAAATGAGAACAAAATGACTTGGAATTTAATTTGTTTGCTTTGATTTGGTTCACGAGAATCATTTGAAGATAATGATTCTTTTTTTTTAAAAAAAAAATATAGTGTTTTCTCGTTTTTTTATAAAACAAATAAAATTATTTATTCTTGAAATTATATTTATTTTATCTATTATTCTTATATTAATTTTATTTAAATTTCCTTTTTTTTTAAAAAAATTTTTTGAATTTTCTTATTTTGGGATTTTTTTTTATAATTTCTTTTAAGTTTTTCTTATTTTTAATATTTTATTAATAAAATATTTTAATTATTTTTGCGATTTTTTAATGTTTATGATTTTTCTGATTTTTTTGAATTTTTCTGATTTTTTTCAATTTTTATTGAATTTTAATGATTTTTTAATGAATTTTTATATTTTCTGTATTTTTATATTTATTTTTTCGTAAAATATTTAAAAAAAAAAACCGACACGTCATCGTTTTTGAACAGTACCGGTCACATTTTTTACTTGATGTACAAGTAAGCCAGATTGGAGGTTTAATATGTTAAATTTGCCAACTTGAGTGTTTAAAGTGCTTGTAAAATACTCTCAGGGTTTAAAGTGTAAGTGGTTGCCACCTTGAAGGTTTTTTATGCGATTTTCCCCAAAAAATAACATGTCTCTTTCGACCAAAAAAATAACGTCTCATTTTCTAGGTCATTTTCTACCAGTTAAAAAACAGGTGCCCCGATATTTGATTTTGGCTAAAGGGAGGGAATCAGTAATTCGTAATTATATATTTAGTGTAAACGCAGATCTGGTGGTTCATTCTGAGTTCTGAAAAATATAAATCCTTTGTTTCCTAGCAAGACGACTTAATCTTATGATGATATAATTTTTTTTTTTATAACACTGATTTAATTTAAGAGTTCAACAAAATAGAAAAAGCAATAACTGAGATACAATCGGATGTCAATAGACACCAAACAAAATGTTAGGGGTCTCACCAAAACCTCATTGCTGAGCCTCCAGCGCGAGTAGATGATGAAGCCACACCGGAGCGTTACGGGCAATGTACGATTGATGACGAAGGTCACGCGTGACGCTCAAAGCAATTGCCGCTGCAGCTTCATTGCGTTCGGGAAGGGCGTGATCCAAACTCCATGAATCCATGATGATATAATTATGACCACCTTCTGATGGTATATTTTATTTTTATCTAGTAGTTTAAGTAGACGAGACAATAATATTGAATTTGTGCCTTGGATCGAGCAAACACATCATATAATTAGGCGTTTTATGTGGATAAATCACTTGTTTGGATAAGATCTCGATAATTAATTAAATAAATTTAAACTTTAACGTTTCATTGCCGTGATGATCACTCCATCAAACCGATGTCAAAAAATTAGTTCATTGTGCAAACATAAAAAATGGTACATCAAAATTGCAAATACTCTAATTTCTTTTTGTTTTTAACTAGCAAACAAATTTAAGCTGAAAAGATAAATTAATGTATGAATTCAGTTAAAACTTACAAGAATTTTGACCTGGATATAAACCTCTCGATGGCTTCAAACGCATTTTTTTTTCATTTAGGACTTTCAAAATAATTACTTGTTTGAGATATACATTATTCTTCAAACAAAATCTGGCTTAAAATAGTCAAAAGTTAAGTACGTTTTTAACAAAGTTTTTTTTTGAAACAGCAAAATATGTTTTTAATAT